CTGTCTCCACAAAAAAGATGTTAAAAACTGGAAAGAAAGGTATGACATTACTATAATATCTAGTGTGTAGGACTTGATTATATGATTAAAAACATCTAACTAACCCTGTTTAGGTCAGCCTCTTTCTGGCTGCCTTTCTCTTAGGCATGGTATGAATTCTGATGGCTCAGGCAGTCCATGAAATCTGGGAAAGGTTCCTGAATTCTAGTCCTTTGAGGATATTCCAAGAGGTCTAGGTCCAGTCTATCCAGTTGTGGCCGTTTAAAGTCATGGCTGCAAAGTTTTTGGCACGCCCACCATCCAAAGGTAGGGATCATGTGCCCGTCCCCTTTATTTGGACTGGCTTGTGACTGCTTCTACCAGTAAACTGTAGAAATGACAAGAGGTTAACATCTGGGGCTCAATTATAAAAGACCCAGCTACTTCTGCCTTATTCGCTCCTGGAGTCCTGAGCCTCAGGGTACAGTGTCTGGCTACTCTGACATCGCCACACAGGGAGACCTCAGACCTAGCTACACCAGTTCTCCAGTCATCCTTGCCCAGGCGCATGTGCACAAAGGCTTCTTGTGCATGAAGCCATCCCGGGACTCTGCAGGACAGCTGACCTGCTAGCTGAAGACCAGCGTCATCTTTGTCAACCCTTCATGGAATAGAAGAATCACCCAGCTAATCCCCACCCAACCAAATTACAGACCCGCCAAACCACCAACAAAATGTTTTTTTTTTTTGTCTTAACAACAGTTTGGTATATTTGTTATGTAACAATACATGACTATAACAATATTTTATTAGAAGGCAGCTTCCACACCCTCAACATCAAATTTGGCCTTATGGATTCTTGGCTGAAACTCCAAAACCCAAGGGCTCAGTGCTTTACTGGGGGCCAAGGTGCCACCTGCATCCAAGGTCCTCCGCCTACAGAAGACCGCTACGAGCTCCCCAGGAAGGGCCACATTCTTCTCTTATTCTTAGAACAACTCTCACTTTCCCAGTGTATCTCACAAAATGAGTTAGCTCTTCTCTAGGCAAGGGAATTCAGAACTCAAGGAACTTAAGACTATCTTGCTTAAGAAGAAAAGAGGACAATTTCTCATGTGTCCATGGCAGGAGAAACTGCCATCAATGACCAACCCAACCCCCTCCCCCATAAAATAAAATGTCTTATTCAGTGGTGGCAGATTGGGGTGAGGAATGTGTATTTTAATTTTTCCAATTAAAAAAAAAAATGTTGTTTGCTTCCTGCACTATAGCCAGAGAGTTTTATAGTGTGTAATTTTTAGAATTTATTAAATGTTCTTAATATCCCAAAATATGATCAATTCTTTAAATCTATCAAATGTTTATACCAAATACATATATGTGAATATATTTTAAAACTATCTGTTAATTATATTATTCAATTCTTTTTAAAAATAATATTTTTATAGACTGATTTCAGAGAAGAAGGGAGAGGGAGAGAGTGATAGAAATATCAATGATGAGAGAGAATTATTGATTGGCTACCTCCTGCATGCTTTCTACTGGGGATCAAGCCTGCATTCCGGGCATGTGACCTTACCAGAATCAACTCAGGACCCTTCAGTCTGCAGGCCAATGCTCTATTCATTAAGCCAAACCAGCTAGGGCTTATTCAATTTTTAAAATAATAATAATCATGTACATACTATTTACTCTGGGCCAACCACTGTTCTAGATATTATGTAAATTAACTCTTCACCCATTTACTCTTAATCTATATGTACCTGTATATTTAAAGTGGGTGTCTTGTAGACAACATATAGTTGTGTCTTGTTTTTAGCACCACTCCCATAATCTATCTTAATTGGTGCATTTAGACCACTGATGTCCAAAGTGATATTGATATACTTGAATTAGTATCTAACATATTTGTTACTGTTTTTCATTTGTTGTCCTTGTCTTTGTTCCTATTTTTGTTTTCCACACCTTATCTGTCCTTTGCAGTTTTAATTGAATGTTTTATATGATTTCATTTTCTCTCCTTAGCCTGTCAAATTCTTTTTTTTCTAAAAGTGATTGCCTTGCAGGGGTCCTCAAACTTTTTAAAGTGGGGGCCAGATCACTGTCCCTCAGAGAGCTGGAGGGCCAGACTATATGAACTACTAATTCCTACTGTAACACCTTGGCTGCGCTCACTGCCCAAAAAACCTGGCGGGCCGGATCAGACTCCTCTGCGGGCCGCATGTGGCCCGCGGGCCGTAGTTTGAAGACCCCTGCGAGTTTGCAATATACACTTACTATTAACCCCAAGTTCACTTTAAAAAACCAAATTTTTAGTGACTTCAGAGAAAAAGGGAGAAGGAGAGAGAGATAGAAACATCAAGGATGAGAGAGAATAATTGATTGGCTTCCTCCTGCACACCCCCACACTGGGGATTGAGCCTGCAACCTAGCCATGTACCCTGACCAGAAATTGAACCATGACCTCCTGACTCATAGGTCAACATTCAACCACTGAGATACATCGGCCAGGCCCAAGTTCACTTTTTAAAAATATATATATTTTATTGATTTTTTAGAGAGGAATGGAGAGTAATAGAGAGCCAGAAACATCAATGAGAGAGAATCATCGACCAGCTGCCTCCTGCACACCCACCCACTGGGGATGTGCCCGCAACCAATGTATGTGCCCTTGACTGAAATCAAACCTGGGACCTTTCAGTCCACAGACTGATGCTCTATCCACTGAGCCAAACCGGTTTCAGCCCAAGTACTACATTTCATCAGTTGTGTGAGTACCTTATAATAACAAAATAATCCTAATTCCCCACTCTAGTTCCTTATATCATTACTGTTATTTATTTCATTTATATGTAAGCATACATAGGCATAGGAATATTCATAAGCATACATAAATACATTGTTGCTATTATTATTTTGAACAAACTGTTATATGTTAGCTAGATAAAGAAAAAAAAACCCTTTTATCTACACTTATTCTTTCTTTGATGTTCTTTCTTTATGTAGGTCTGAGTTTCTGGCTTAGATTATTTTCCTTCTGTCTGTAGAACTCCTTTTCATATTCCTTACAAAGCTGGTTTGCCAGCAACACATTTCCTCAATATTTGTTTGTCTGAGAACCTCTTTATTTCCTTTTCACTTTTGAAGGATAATTTCTCAGAAATTCTAGTTTGGTGGTTTTCTTTTTCTCTCAACAGTTTAGAAATTGCCTTTTCACCTTCTTCTTACTTCATGGTTTCTGAGAAGTTAGATGTAATTATTATCTTTGTTCCTTTATAAGTAAGGTGTTTTCCCTTCCCCTTTGGCTGCTTGCAGGAGTTTATCTGCAATGATTTTCTGTGCTTTGAAAATGACATGCTCTGGTGTAGACTTTTTATTTTTTGCATTTATCCTGCTTGTTCTGTAAGCTTCCTCAGAAAATTTACGTAATGTTAAATGAGGTAAGAGCCCTTTGAGGCTGGTGCTATCATTGCTCACTCCCACGTAAGCTTGATTGGTGAGCTTGAGGCAGTGAGAGGTGAGTCACGTGGCCAGTATGTGGCAGAACAAGGTTTGCATTCAGGCAATTTTATTTCTGTTTTAAAGGCTCTATGGTTTGTGTAGACTTTATCTCAAGCCACCTCACATAATTTTGAAAGTGTTGTAGTGTGTCTTAACAAATGAAAATAAAATGCTGGCTTAACCTTAGTTAACTCAAATAATATTTATACTTCTAAAATATTTTTTCCCCCTCTGCTACTCCTGGTTACTCCAGTTTTGCTTTCTTTGTAGCCATTATTTGAAAAATCTCTCTGACTTTTAAGTATGCTTTTATATTCTTTTGTGTTTCTGATTGCCTTGTATTTTTCTCCTTTTCTTTTTCTTCTATTTTATGATTATTATTCCAAATGTTTAGAAGTAAAAAAAAAAAAAATGACCAGGATGCCTTCAAGACAATGGTTTGAATGAGCTGGCTTGATTCTCCTTTTTGATCTGTGTTTTCTCTTCATCCAAACATAGTTTCTGGGAGGTGCAAGGACTTGAGTCATTCATTTGGATTATTGTTGCATCATCAGGAGAGTGCCTGATGGGAATTGAAGATATCTAGAATCTAACCTCCCCTGACTTACTTGCTGTCGTTATGTGGGACTACATTTTGACTATGGTTTAAAGGTAATCCCTTAATTTCATGTTCTTTGCATCTTTTCTTCTCTAAAATAGTAGCCATGATCTTTCATCTCTCCTCCCTACCAGGATATTTTGAAGATGAATTATTATGAAAACAAAATGAAATTATCAATCTCTCCAGAGATGTTTTCTCTATAAACACAACAAACAAACAAACAACAACAACAACAACAAACCCCAAACCAAAAACAACAAAACCCTGGCTCTCATGAACTCTGTGGTCTTCATAGCTGTGCCTGGAGGGCAGGTAAGTAAGTAATTTCTCAATAAATGAGGTGTTTTGAAATTCCTTCCAGAGAAGTCTGGCATTTATTTTAAATTCACTTGGAGGCTGAGGAAGCCTGGAATCATTCCAGCTGGTTCTTGCTCTGCAGGTAAATATTGATTCCATGAATTAACAAGCTGTTTCAGGCTGGCTATTCACAGATTTGGCAGTTATGTTGCATTGTTCTTGAGTTACTTTGATCTTACTAGTATATCTTTGGGACTCCTGTAATATTGTAGGTCCCAATGCTTCATCTGAGTCAGCACATGTCTTTTAGTCATATGCAGCATACTAAACTGGGAGAAACAGTCTACCTGTTCAGAAAGGACACACATTGTGAACTTAGTAAGATGTTTAGAGGTGGGTGTTTCCAGATTGGTTGGTGACAATGTTGTGGAGGGTCCCTTGCTCTTCCTTTCCTTTCTCCCCAACATCGGTAGCATATTGAGGTCTTGTCTTTGGTTTTACTGCTTTGTGGTCAAGTCTTCCTTGGCCTCGTACGAGTGTAGAGGTAAAGGTCTTCAAGAGAAAAGAACATGCCTTCCACTTTCACCCGGGAACAAAAATCTTTCTCAGAACAAAAATCTGTCATCTGTTGGAGTAAGAGGAGGTGAGGTGTTATGGTTTCTTTGAGCTGCGAGGGTGGCAGGACAAGGGTGCACCTTGCTTTTTCAGCAACCACACTGAGAGACAGGTGGTCAAGGTGTTGTCATAATTACAATATAGCCAAAGTATTGACTGATTTTTTGTAGGCACTAGCTATGTGGCTTATAAGTATTATTTCAATTGGTTTTCAATGCAATCCTAATGGGAGGATATTCTCACCGTCTTTTTAAGAGAATGGGACAGAGAGGTCAGGCAGTTCGCTCTGGGTCACACAGCCATGAGCTGCAGAGACAGGATTTGTTCTTTTTGACTTTGAAACGTGTATTCTGGAGTTTTTTGAATGACCTCTTATAAGAACACTCTTCTTAACTTAGTGTGTTTGCTCACATGCTTTAAAAAAATCAATATTTAAGCAACCAGTTTTAACTTTTGACACATTTTGGAAACAGGAAGGAGATGGCTCTTGTAGAATGAGGAAACAGAAAATGCTGGTGTTCTGTGTCCCTTTTGATGGTGAAACTTCAGTGGTTTGGATTTGCTCTGGAAGGTCTTTCTTGAGAAAGTCTTGGCTCTTGGGTTTTCTATGTTGTTGGCAACGCAAAGACTCCTTCCTGTGAAAATGAGCTCCCCATTGTCCTGGGGAACAAATAAAGAATTATCTCACTGCCTGACAGCATTTCAATCATTGTTTATTTAAGTCGCAGATCTCTACATATAAAAAGGAGGGTGGGAATACTAATGGGTAAATTATTAAGGCAAAATGGGCATATTTCTTATTGTCTCTTGCCTAGAAGACCTTTTCCAAGAGTTCTGGCTCTTCCCACATAATCTTTGCGTATTTGTCTTCCTCCAGCTGCTGTCCGAGGCCATTTTTATTGTCTTTCTCAGTCATTTAGTGAATGAATTTGGAGAGATCAGTTACCTACTCAACCACCAACTCTTCATTCATTCTCCTTTCTGATAGAAAAACCATGTTGTTGGGATTGACCTCACCCAACATCCAAGGTTGGATCCCGATTGGTTTCAAACAGTAAATGCTTACTATTATTTCCAAAAATATTCATCATTGCAGAGTCCTAACCTTACACAAACAAGGGGCAGGTAGAGCCTGTGTATCTTCCCTGAGATCTCACAGAAAACCTTACCTGCACTCTAGCACAAACATTTAAAACATGATCCACCAAAAGGAGCAAATTTTCAGTCCCGGCCCCCACAGTCAGCACTGACAGCCTGGAATTTCTCTTAATATGGAATAAATTCCCCTTTGTTTAGTGCTCCAGTTTTCTTTTAGTCAGGTTACAGTACCCCCTTTTCATTTTAGCCGGTTTCTGAATGAGTGGCTCTCTTTTTCCTTTGCTTGATTCTCTGGATCTGGCCTGCTGATTCAGCACGTGGTTTTGTTATGGTGCAAGAGTTGAGTCAGCCCGATAAAGACCAGAAGTTATCTCTTCTTGGATGTTGAGTAAATGAGGAGTTAGTAGCCCTAAACACTCCTGGAAGCCACCTCCAGGGCAAGAGGAATCTAGCATAATATACACTTGCATTTATATTATGCTTAAAACTATATGTAGACAAGAAGATGGAAAGATATACAAAATAAAAACAATTGTTCATTGTTCAGCTATAAGGATACTTTTTATTAAACATTTATAAAAATTCTATAATTTTGCTTATTCTTATACCAAACCAATAAGCGTAACATAAGAAGTTGGTTTTATGTTTTTTTTCTTTTCTTCTTGTTCTGCTGGAGACAGATAAAATAAAAAGGGGGTTAATGTTTGTTGTGAAGGTAGCAATTTACAATGGAATCCTCCAGGGTCAGAGGCAAGCATCCAAGTTTATTTAGTGAAGCAGGCAAGTATGCCATACCTCCCACTCCTTTTTGAAACCACTGTGGCTGTTTGTTGAATTTATGTTTGCAATTTGATATGAGCCAGGGGGTCATATTAGTAAAGGAATGGTTTTAAAAAGAAAAACCACACTCAAGAAAAACTTCAGCCAATTTTTGGAACAAACCTAATTACTTATTCATGGATATCCTAGCTCACGGTGTCTGCACCATGCAGCTTGCTGACTGGAGCCCTTCTGAGAGAATTATTATTATTATTATTTTTTAATATATGGGGTGTCCCCTCCCCCCAAATATATATACACACACACTTTGAATAATTTTAAAGGCATTGCTTATTAAAATACAATTTCTTTCCAAAATTGAGCTATCAGCTGTTAAAGTGTGTATACATTTCTTTTGGACATCCCGCATTTTCATTCCTTGGATTTATGCAGGTTCGTGTTTTAAGTGCAGAGATGCGCAACCTTCACCGCCTTCTGTTGTCAGGAAACTCTTAAAGTCCGAGTTGACAGGGTCGGCATTTTATTCTTATTGTTTGTCCCAGTCATTTAATTGTGTGATTGGTGCTGGTGTGTTACATCAGTTCCTAAAGGATACCGGCTTTTATCTTAGGATGCAGAGTTTCAAATAGAGAACAGCCTAGGGTGACTGGACGAAAAAGGTCAATGGCAAACACAATTTCAAATAATAACCTTGAGACACTGCTGTCATGTGGAATGATAGGATAAGGAACATTTTATTTTAGCTTCTTTGACAATTTATGAAAATTAACATCAATGTTTAAAAAACTAGCTTAAACATAAGAATACGAGTTTTACAGATATGAGAAAAATACATTTACCTATATATAGAATATGAGCTTTTATCATATATATTTACTGCTATTATTTATCATCTTTGTCAGTTTTTTATTAGTACCAAATAATCTTTTGTATTAAATGTCCTATTAACTTTTATTATTATTATTTTTTAATAAGGTTTTTAAAAAATAACATTTTATTGATTTTTTTACAGAGAGGAAGAGAGAGGGATAGAGAGTTAGAAACATCGATGAGAATCATTGATTAGCTACCTCTTGCACATCCCCTACTGGGGATGTATCCGCAACCAAGGTACATGCCCTTGACCATAATCAAACCTGGGACCTTTCAGTCCGCAGGCTGACGCTCTATCCAATGAGCCAAACCGGTTTAGGCCTATTAACTTTTATTAATATTGCTATTCCTACATGTTTTTTTTTTCTTTCTTATTTACCTGGTGAATTACTGCCCACCCCTTTATTGTCACAGTTCCCATTTCAACATTTCCACAGCTCCCACCGCACAGACTTAGAATGGTGCTGATCTGGTTCTTCACTCCCTCTTGACCATACTTGCTCCAGAACATACTTGCTCCTCAGCATGGAGGGAAACTTTCATGCTTACGTGATTGAAAACACTGAAGATCCCGAATCCCACGATTTCCTGTGCTTCAGTGATGCACTTACGTGTTGGGCTAAGTAAGTGTGTATTCTTTCCAGTTGAATCCTTTGCCATGCTTGGTGCTGCTAAAGAGAAAGAAGATTCTGTCTGATCATGTGACTCAGAAACTTCATTCTGAATCAAGGTGTCAGGCGGACCAGGGTGGGTGCAGATGTGCTACCCAGGTCCACCCACACTAGTCCTACTTGCTTCTGGTTCTGAGAGGATGACCTCCAGAAATGAGCAGAGCTCTCTGGTCGTGCAAATCCTTCTGAATAACAACCCCTTTTGTGTCCGGGATGCACCAGATAGGATGTTCTTTATCAGCAAGCAGTCCATGTCCTTGAGAAAGGAGCTGGAAGTTCCAACATTACCCTCCTTATCTCCAACACAAAACCCCAAGGCTGAAGACAGCGGCAAATGTTTAGTTAATTTAATATTAGGTAATGAATTGGAGGAGGCCTTCCTGGTCCCACCCAAGGGTCCACCCCCCCTGGTTGGACTGGTTGCCACCCACTCATCTGTCATCTTGCTCAACTGTCACCTACACAAAGCCTTTCTTTCTACTCTCGGGGAGTGCCAATGGCTTCCTCCTCTGAGTCCCTCAGGCCTTTGTGTGTGCTATATTTAGAACTAACCACATTGTTCTGTGATGACTTGCTCAGACATCTGCCTCTCCCAGGAGGTGATGAGTTCCTCGGAGCCAGGGACTATGTCCTCATCATTTCTATACACCCATCTCCTTCTGCAGAATAAGTATTTGAGTCTGTTTTTAAATTTCTGAATTCCTCCCTGTGGTCCCTATTGCCATCGGCATAAAACTCCTGTCTTTGCTCTGGTGAGCACCTCAACACCGTCAGAGTGGACATCCCAGCTCCCCTGAGTGCTTTGGGCGCTCTTTCCCCTCTTTTCATCCATAATGTTCCCTCTGGTGGAAGGTATCTCCCCAAACATCCTTGCTCTGGGCTAGCCCTCCCTCTTTCTCCAGATCGGTTAGAAACACACCTTGGGTGCTCATTCCTAAAACATTCTGTGCTTTTCCCAACATGTGATTTTACACATGCTACTGTGATCTCCTTCCTGGTGTCTACTTTACCCCCTAGAGTGAAAGATCCTTGAGCCCATACTCAGTAAATATTTGCGGATTATATTCTTTACCAAGTCTGTGTAATGTATCATGGAACTTGGTAATAAAATAGAACAAGTGTGCAATGATTAAAAAACTTGAATTCTTATCTAGGTTCTGCTACTTATAGTGGGAGGAAAACAAACCAATAAAAGCTTGCCCAGTTGTAAGAGTGCTTTAGCAAAAAGTAGACATAAGCAAAGAAAAACAGCCCTGCCGGGAAGTAGGACCAAAGTACAAGGACAGCGAGGAAACAGACAAGTCAGCTTAGCAGCACCTGGGGTCCGCGAGGTCCAGCAGAAAGGGAACAGCAGCTCTTTATTTTAGATAATTTACTTGTTGATTGATTTTAGAGAGAGAGGAAATTGATTTGTTGTCCCACTTACTTATGCATTTATTGGCTTCTTTCTGTATGTGCCCTGTATGTGATCAAACCCACAGCCTTGGCATATCCGGATGACACTGTAACCAACTGAACTTCTTGGCAGGGCTGTAACAGCAACTCAATGGCCCGACCATGAAGGAGCCAGGATAGACCTGTGCTCAGGTGGAGTGGCACCAACACTACCCAAGGGATAAAAGGAAAGAAGAAGTTGTTGGTTTTGTATAAAAATAGGACATGGAGCCTGAGGTTTATTTATTGGTGTGCATGTCTGCCGTACATTCCCCTGGTGGAGCCGCTGGGACAAAGCTGTCAGCCCTGGGCCTTGCTGCATGGTGGGGACCTGGTGGAGCTCATGCTTCTGCAAGGCCAGTGACATGATGGAAATGTGACAGCTGCTTGGCCTGCTTGCCCTGGGTGTTGTCAACATGGACCACCTGAGCGAGAGCTGGCAGGTTCTGCAAAGCTTGGGCCTGAGCATCTTTCTTGGTAAAAATGAGGATGTAGACTTATATTATAAATTTTAGACAATAATTAGCCTTCCAAATTTTATATATATATATATATATATATATATATATATATATATAAATAAAATTTGGAAGGCTACATACACACACACACACACACACACACACACACACACACACACACACATATATATATATATATATATATATATATATATATATATATATATATATATATTTGCTTATGATTTCTGTCCGTGGCCATTCATGACATTGACTATAGTTCTAGGGAAAAAGATGTGTGTCTTGTGTCCTCTGTACCACTACTGAGCTGTTGTCCCGGCTGTCACACACAGTGGCTGTTGTAAAATGTAATTCACTCCAATACACATAGAGCCATTTCTCTTTAAATCTCTCTCCCTGGTGGGTGAGGCCCATAAAGCCTGTATTGGCACACCTTTCTTCCTTTTTAGCATATTTATTGAACAGTTATCTGTCCCTCACTGCATCAGGTTAGCACCGAGGACAGGGAGTCAAAGTAGAATGCTGCCTGAACAGTGAGGGGTCTTGCACACAGAATGACGATTAAGGGGGACTTATTGCAGTTGAAAGGGATCAGCATATTTGAGGTCCTGGCATTCAGGAGGCAGAGTGGTGGTGACTGATTGACATCAAATGCACAGGCTCTGAGTTCCAGTGCCTGCTCTCTTCTCTTTGCCTCTTACCATTTGTATGATTTGGAAAAGTTGCTTGCTTTTCCAAACCTCAGTCTCCTGACCTTGGAATGAGAATAAAGGTGTCTGCCTCCCTTCTGATGATATATATTTTTAAAAAATATATAAACATTATCAGGAAACACTGATGGTCTGCACCATGATAGACCTCCTCCTGAATCCTATCCTTACTCTGTTTTGAAAAATTACCTTTTGTCCATATGTTCAGTTAGTTTGATAATTCTATCAGCTTTAATATTACTATATTAGTCTATATTTGAATCTCAATTTTCTTTGTTTCTGGTGATCTATATATATTTATAATTCCTCTACTCTGGATGACTTCATCCTTTAAGTATTTATGCTGTCTACTGCAGATGTCTACCCTACTTAGTTAATGTTTACCTGAGTTAGACCTATTTAATTATTCAATCCAATTTAGACTTTGGCCCTAGTTATGCAAGCACTTTCATATTTCTCTCCATGTTATTTTGGACTTTTAGTCCTTGGAGAAAATTGCAATTAAAAATTTGTGAAGAAATATCAGGGGAGCACATGGTAAAGTATGTGATTGTCTAACCACCTGCTGTACACTTGAAACTAATGCACAATAAAAATGAATGTCAACTGTAATTGGAAAAAAATTGTGAAAATCAGTTCTCCATAAAGTAATAATAGCTATTAGTAAAAAACTACCAGTAGATTCACTTACCAAGTCTCTTTGAGCAAGAGGAAGGGGAAGAATGACAGGACTGTGACTTACTGACCCCTAACAGCATGAAGGGTTGGAGGAGGGGTTCCAACCTAGGCTTGGAAAGGTCCTCATTTATAAAAAAAGAGGTTGAAAATTTGAGTGAGAAAGAAACCCAAAATAATTTATCTGTATCATTGAAATAAAAAAACAAAACAAAACCCAACAGGACAGATCAGGTTTCATGATAATTTAAAATATACTAAAAATCAAATTAAATGTAATTAATTATGCTTTAAAATATTAAATGTGATGGAAAAAAACCTGAAACAAAATATAAATACTAAGCAAATAACACCATGTAATCTAATAAGCTTTAACAATGTAAACTGATGTTCATGCAGTAACATTCTAAATTGCCCACCAGGAGTGGTTATTAGGAATACTTGAGAAATAGCTGGTATAAGTGATGGGCGGTATCCGAGTGGCAGGTACGGGCAATGCTGGGGTGTGGTTGGGAGAAGCCATCACCTGACTTTTAAACTACGTCACATTTCATGTCTTAGAATGTGCCAGGATCTGACCTATGCCCTCGGATGACACAGATTAAAAATGAAAAGTTACAGCATAAGTTAGTATCGATAGTTGGGCATATCTGCTTTCTGATCTTAAGGTCAAAGAAAGAATGTACTATAAACAAAAATGATGAGGTCAACGAAACTGAGCACAGAGATGTTAAGAACTTTCCTGAGGCCACACAACTAGTGAGGGAGCGCTTACATTTGAGTGCATACTCCTGCTTAATGCTGACTCTCCTTGCCTTGCTACAAAGATGCAGAATGTAAATCCATATGCTAAGTACTCATTCATTTTAACTGCCATTTTTATAACCTTGATCTTAAGAAGTATTTCCTTGATGTACCAACAGTTTGAGTTTCTCTTCATGGTTATAAGAATTATCTTTACAAAGGAGCCCACTGTGCCTCTCAGATATCTATCCCTTGAGTTTGCCTTATCTGAACCAGCAGGTGGTCCAGATCCTCAGTATTTCTGACCAGGGTTACTGCAGCAGCATCTGGCTCTTCTTCCTGCCCAGTATTTCCCCATTTCACCCTTTTCCTACAGGGCAATCAGTCATCGTGCTAAAAGCCAACCTGATTTCATTTGTTGATTTCATCACCACCAGCAATTCATCAATATCATGGAAAGAGTGAGTGAATGAATGAATGGAATGAATGAAATAGAAGACTTTTATTAGCTATAATACTCTCTCCATTAGGTAGTACTTAGATAAACACTACCACATTAGACTCTCTCTCTCTCTCTCTCTCTCTCTCTCTCTCTCTCTCTCTCTCTCTCTCTCCCTCCCTCCCTCTCTCTCTCTCTCTCTCTCTTAAAATATATTTTATTGATTTCTTGTGAGAGGAAGGGAGAGAGGTAGAGAGTTAGAAACATCTATCACCTGCCTCTTGCACACCCCCTACTGGGGATGTGCCCGCAACCAAGGTACATGCCCTTGACCAGAATCGACCCTGGGACCTTTCAGTTCTCAGGCTGACACACTCTCCACTGAGCCAAACCGGTTTAGGCTAGACTTTCTCTTTTGTTTCTAGGTTTTTTGTTTTTTTTTTACTAGCAGTCTCTTCCAGGGACTTAATTCTTTCAATATTTCATTTAGTCCATCAAGTGATATTCTGGGACTTAAGAAGTAAAGTGAACAGTAGTGTTAGTGTGGTTTACACTCTAAGGGCACTTTATACTCTTCATTTTCAAATTGCTGTCCAATTTTCAGCAAATGGTTATAAAAAAAATACTGGTCTCAATCCCACATGGCTAGATCTAAGATATGTTTTTCTCTTAATTTTGTTGCTTATCTAATATCCATAAACATTCACCACACTCATGCCTTTCACTATAACCATCATCGTCATCATCCTTCTTATTAGTCAGCCATCATGTGACTCTTGAAGCCTCCCCACCTTGACCCTTCACTCACCATTATGAACTGAATTGTGCCCCACCCCCCAAGTCATACATTTGAAGCCCTAACCCCCAATGACTGTATTTGGAGTTAGGGCCTTGAGGGAGGTGATTAAGGTTAACTGAGGTCATAAGGGTGGGCCCTAATCTAATAGGACTGATAAGAAGAAAAGGACTCCCCAGAGGTCACTCTCCATGCGAACGTGTAGGAGAGGCCATGTGAGGACCAGTGAGAAGGCAGCTGTTTTACAAGCCTTACCAGTAAGCAATCCTGACACCTTGATCTGGGACTTGTAGCCCCTAGAACTGTGAGAAAATAAATCTGCTATTTAGGTCCAGTCTGTGGTCTTCTATTATGGCGGGCTGAGCTAAGGCACTCACATTGCCATGTGAATCAGCAATCCAGCACCTCCCACTTTCTTCTCTTCTTCCTAGAACACCCAGGTGGGGTTGTGTTTCACCTGGAGCCCAGCATCTTCGTCACTGGGCTTGCAGGGAAGAGAGTGGGCGAGAGGTGGGTGAAGACACAGGACAAGAGGGAATAAGGACTCTTGGGTGCCCAGAAAGTATTGGGATTTCCAAGAAGGAAGAGGGAATGAGGGTAGGCTAATGGAGAACGTGAAGGAAGGAAGGCAGTCATTGTGTGGTGTGGACATCTGGGCAAGGAGCCCCCCATTCATGGATCAACTGCTCTGACATAGGCTTCCCAAGACAGTGGGCTCAGCGATCGTGGTTGGAGGAGGTCTTGTGAGTAAAGCAGCGGCAGCTGCCCTTCTTTCTGGGTAGTCCTGATTACCTTAAACACACACATGGATTTACCTTCAGTTTTGAGCCTAAGACAATATCA